AGACGACATAAATACTGTACTCTACAATTTTCCTTCAAAATATAATTGCATAGTTACATCTTAGATTTACATTTAAAATCACCCGTATTTCATCAATCACAAATGACACCATTATCAAGAAGTTGTGGTTAACATGAGCAAACAGACTTCATAAAGCTTTGACAATCGAATTATTTGCAAACCATGGGTTTCAAAGACATGCCAATTTTTCTTGTTCTTGAATTACTTTGCTGAATGGAACATGAACATACTTTACAAAATGCACATCATAGGCATATTCGGAGATTCCTTAATAGATCATCAACAAGAACTTTTCAACTGTTTAAATAAATGCATTTTGTGATAACTAATATAAATTTGGTATAACTAAAATTTCAACATATATCAAGTATGAAAGTGTAGAAAACAAGCTATCAAATTGTGAGTCAAGCATTGCTAAAAACGCTGCAAAAATATAAGATTACTACCACTTATTTATGTGTATGGTATTTTCTAAAAGACCATCATAACTTATAAAAAACAATTACTTAAAACACATTTTTGTTGTCAAAATTTGCATTACAGGAAGTCCTATAAACAATTAAGTAGATAGGGAAATGTATGGATAGTCATGTCAGTGGAATATAAATATGATGGGCCACCTCCCACAAGCATCCGTTTACATAGCGAGACTCTACTGGTGACAGTGGTATGATCGTGTGACAAGTCACGTTAAGAAATTTGAATTGACAGATCCAAATTATCATTTAGTATAGAAAAATAAAAGTACCTACCGATTTCCCTAAACACTACTATGATATATGTACATTACTGTACATTTCCACCCTATTTTTGTATTTACTGTAATAAAATCTTTGTCATCCCAATTTATCATTTTAACAATACACTAACTCAACATTTATGAAAAGTAACAAAACTAAAGCAAACGAACAAGAAAAGCAGTGGAATTATTTACATATTATGTTGATGCTACTGATAAACTTCTCAAATTCAATAATTTACATTTTGAATTTTCAACAACTATTTTATTAACCATGCAATCCAGTTATACTAGATAGATAATTAGTTTTTGATTTCGATTATTGCACAAAAGAATAAAAATGATTTAAAATCGTTGAGTAATTCGACAATATTAATATCATTGTAAAAGTTAAAACAAATCTTCATAGGTTATCAAATATCTAAATTTATTTAACCAGATCACAATCATCATGCAGTCATTACCAATCACCATGCAGTCATTACCAATCATCATGCAGTCATTACCAATCATCATGCAGTCATTACCAATCACCATGCAGTCATTACCAATCACCATGCAGTCATTCCCAATCATCATGCAGTCATTACCAATCATCATGCAGTCATTACCAATCATCATGCAGTCATTACCAATCATCATGCAGTCATTACCAATCACCATGCAGTACTTACCAATCACTATTCAGTCATTACCAAACACTATGCAGTCATTACCAATCACTATGCAGTCATTACCAATCATCATGCAGTCATTACCAATCATCATGCAGTCATTACCAATCATCATGCAGTCATTACCAATCATCATGCAGTCATTACCAATCATCATGCAGTCATTACCAATCACCATGCAGTCATTACCAAACATCATGCAGTCATTACCAATCACTATGCAGTCATTACCAATCATCATGCAGTCATTACCAAACACTATGCAGTCATTACCAGTCACTATGCAGTCATTATCAATCACCATGCAATCATTACCAATCACTATTCAGTCGTTACCAAACATCATGCAGTCATTACCAATCATCATGCAGTCATTACCAATCATCATGCAGTCATTACCAATCACTATTCAGTCATTACCAAACATCATGCAGTCATTACCAATCACTATGCAGTCATTACCAATCATCATGCAGTCATTACCAATAACTATTCAGTCATTACCAACCACTATGCAGTCATTACCAATCACTATGCAGTCATTACCAAACACTATGCAGTCATTACCAATCACTATGCAGTCATTACCAATCATCATGCAGTCGTTACCAATCATCATGCAGTTATTACCAAACATCATGCAGTCATTACCAATCA